ACGACGGGGTGAGCTTCTCGTTGTTCGGTCCCAGCTCCTGCCAACCTAGCAGTTCAAATGCACATCAAAGTGCAAGTAGATAAATAGGTACCCCTCCGGCGGGAAGGTAAACGGTGTTCCCGTGTGCTGCTCTGGTTCGCCAGAAGCGGCTTAGTCATGCTGGCCACATGACCCGGAAAAACTGTCTGCGGACAAACGTTGGCTCCCTTGGCCACTAAAGCAAGATGAGTGCTGCAACCCCAGAGTCGTTTGCGACTAGACTTAACTGTCAGGGGTCCTTTACCTTTACCTTTTTAAACACTTCACTTGGTGGGGATGGACAAGTAGGCATTTCTTAGTATTGTGAGGCTAAAAAACGTTTCAAATTCATAGTGACCCAATAGTCAAGAATTTAGCACATCAAACAGTTTCACACAGACTGCTCTTGGATAATAATGGGATCTTCATCCAGTGTCTGCTGGTTAATAAATATAATGTTCAACAACCATATCTTAGGTATGGGGTGGTGGTGTTGTGATAATCGGATATGCCCTTGGTTGCTTAAGGAAAGCAGTGAAGGCTTGCCACCCCATCCTGTCCACGTTTGTTCAGACACTGGTCCTTCTGACGTCACTGAAGTTTACTCTCAAAATAGGTATAAATGAGATTACAATCTAAGCCTTTATGTTCCTTCGTTTCCAAAGAATTTAGCTTTATTTATTTTTCTATTGGATTTTTAATTTCGTCCTCTGCTGCTGGCATTAAGCAGGAATTTTGTCATTTCCATGCAGTCCTGAACTTACTGTCGTTGTTCTACATACAGTGGTACCTCGGGTTAAGTACTTAATTCGTTCCGGAGGTCCGTTCTTAACCTGAAACTGTTCTTAACCTGAAGCACCACTTTAGCTAATGGGGCCTCTTGCTGCCACCGCGCTGCCGGAGCACAATTTCTGTTCTCATCCTGAAGCAAAGTTCTTAACCCGAGGTACTATTTCTGGGTTAGCGGAGTCTGTAACCTGAAGCGTATGTAACCCGAGGTACCACTGTACTCATTTAATGGTAGCTAACCATTGTTTATTGGTTTTCCAGGACACCAAAGATCGGCTTAAAGAGGCAACCGCAAAAGTCACTCAAGCGAAAGAGGAAGCTGAGCAAATACGAAAGAACTGCCAAGAAATCATAAAAACATATCAAGTGGGTATAATGTTACATGAAGCAAAATTAAGATGTTGAACTTGTATATAGGTTTTCTTTTCTTGCATGTCCCACACTCACCTCTAGCCCTATAGCTGAAATGATACAATTCTTTCCCAAAACCTATCTGATCTAATGTCATTTCTAAATTAATTAATTGTCCTGGCACAGGCAAATCCAGATACGTTGCTTGCTATTTCATCTTACTCTAGCCATATGTTCTGATCTTCTGCACTATCGCATCCAATAGAAAGATCTTTCTGTTGTGCTGAGTGTGCATAATATTATAGTTATTTTTTAGCCACCATACAACCCAGAGGTACTGACCTAAGGTATAGTGAACACCTGTGTGTGGTAAGGCTAGGGACCAAGGATACTAACTAAGTTATGCCCAAGACTCCTTAAGTGGCATGCCATAGCCACCACCCAGCTTTTCTCAGGGCTGAGTTTTTTTCCTCCTTTCAGGTGAGAAATCTTCAGTCCCAGTCTAATGGAGGGCACTGGTTCTAATCTTTCTATATGACAGAACATATGCAACGTCTAGAAATAGTATAACCTTTTTCTTTTCACATCCAGAGAGTGCAGGTTTCAATATCCACACACACTTAGTTTTCAAAAACACAGTTCCTGATCAGGTGATCTCATAACTCTCCTGCCTGCAATAAGCATGTCCTTCCTTATTCTTGGGAGACTGAGGGGTGACATTACACAAAGAAAGAGAGTCTGTTGAGTGGCAATAACATCTGATGTCATTCCTCTGCCTCCTTATTTATCCTTGGGGATATTGATTGCAGGAGAGAGCCATTCTGTATCTTGACCACACATATGCTTTCCCAGTGTAATGTCTGAATGGGGGAGCATATGCATGTCCCTCGTGGCAAATTGCACATAGTCCACACACATCTGGTATCTTATGTTTGTTGTTTCAGAGTGATTGTCTTTCCCTTTTGCATGTTACTCACAGTGCTAAAAGCAGTGATCTGTTTCCAAGCTTGACTAAGCTCATAGTGTTTGGACTGTAAGTCTGGGATAGATGATTGTAACATAACTTGTACAATAAGGTCTTTTCAGTTTATGAATTGGCATGTGAAGATTTAATAGTGCTCATTCCCTCTCCTTAGGAGTCTGAAGAAATTAAATCAAATGAATTGGATGTAAAACTCCGACTTACAAAAGGAGAGCTGGAAAACACTTGCAGGAGAAGTCTGACCATCTAGAGGTAAAATATATTACTCGCTTCAGTGGTTGCATTTTATGAGGGTTAAGGCTCGTACTGGGGGGGGGAGAGTATAGTGGTGGGTCCAAATCATAATTGCTATGTAGATTAAAGTGGACAGGATTGGGATCCCATTTTCCTCCACGTTGTATGCAGAATTGTCATTTTTCTCTTTCGAAGGTACATCATGCCAAAATAAAAGAACTGAAGATGTGAAGCGAACTTTTAAAGAGGGTATGGATGAGCTACGAACTCTAAGGACAAAGGTGAGAGAGAAGAATTCCTTGTAGCCAAAAGAATGAAAGCAAAGCAAACTGTATTATTTACCTGGATAATTTGACCAGATAGATCAGTGCAAATTTGACTTCCAGGGACCTGATGGTTCTGTACGATATATAATGGCATTGTACTAGCAGCAAGTCCAAGAACTAAAATAATGTGGTACAACCACTTCATCTCTTGTTTCCTGCATTGCTTGTTACAGTGGTTGAAAAGTAGTATTTCAAGTGCCCTTCTAAAGTAAGAAGTATCGAACTTGGCAACAAGTTCAGAGGATTTGGGCCAAAACATAGGTCTCTCAAAAAAATTATTGCAGCAGGCATTTCTTTGGTGCCACCATCCTTTTCCTGACCTTGACGTTTTCCTTCTGGAGTTGACATGGCAGCTGTGAGAAGATTTAATTTCCCCAAGCAAAGGAAAGAGTTCCTGGAATGGCTAAGAGAGCTGCTTCAGGGCCATGATCAGCTCTTTCGACTTTGAATTCAAGTACTATCACTGAAATGGCTCCGGTGCTACCACAAATTTATTTTTTGTACAACAGGGCAGATAGGGCCAGGAGGGAGAAGGGAAGTGGAGCTAGGTATCATATTTGGAGTCTCATTTGATTAATTCCATAAGGATATATGATGTACATTATTTGCTGATTTATGTCGTGATAAAATGTAAAAATTTTAGTTTTCCAATTGTTGTTCTGAAAAATGTAATAAATGGCATCATCTGTCAGTAGAGCCTTCAAACTCCCCTAAAATCAGGGAGGAAACCTGTCTGTTGCTAATTTCCATTAGAGAGCCACCAATTCACAAGATGTTAAAATGTAATACATTTGCATTTCACTATATCTCCTAAGCATTTAGGATGCAGGGCTATATCTGTTGCCCCCCCCTGCAAAGTTTAGGAGGGGGGGGGAACTTACTGGCTTTATATTAAAAGCTGGGTTACGATTCTGCTGAGTTCAGGCAGGTGGTGGTTCTTTTTCTTTCCTTGCCATACTTTCCACACACTTTGTTAAAATGGGCCTATCCGATTACGGTAACTGTAACTAACCAATGCCTGGAGATCGGGGTGGCTTTTTCTCTTAACTTTAAAACCCCAAACCCTGAAAATGACAAGTAATTATACTTTTGTCAGAGCACTTTCCCAAACAGATCATGTCCCTTCTTGTAAACAGATAGGTAGGGGAAAGAATTCTTAAATGAAGAAGTCGATGACAAAAAGCAAGATTAGGATGGGGGGAGAAATAGGTTAAGTTTCAGGTACCTTGTGTCTGGTGCAAGTTAAATGAAATGAAATCTTAATGTTTTATACAACACAGTTATATATATATATATATAACAAGGGACGTACACAATAAATACAGAATGCTACAATATGATCAATAAGTTTGGCTGGTAAAAAGAAATCAGATTTGAAAGACCTCTGCACCTAAAAGAAGGCACCAGGGTATGCTAGTGGCAAGGCGTACCACCAGACAAGGCCTGCCATGTTGATGGCTTGGTCCCTTGTCAAGGGGCATGGGGCACTACTGAAGTGTCCCATTCAGAACAACTCAGTGAGTGATGTGGCACATAAGGAATCAGGTGGTCCTTAAGCCTGGTAGCAAATTGGCAACTGATACAGCTCTCTCAGCAAAGCAGTAAAATGTTGCCAGTAATCTGCTCCTGTGAGTACTGTAGTCTGGTCTTTGCATCCTCAGATACAAGGAGAAGCACTGTGTAAAGCGTTTGTGATTCAAAAAGCTAATAAAATCTACCAGAAAGAATGAAATGTGCCATTTACATTAACAAGTTCTCTGTTTTTAGGGTCAAGTGTCTAGAGGATGAACGATTGAGAACAGAAGATGAATTATCAAAATACAGAGAAATTATTAATCGCCAGAAGGCTGAGATTCAGAATCTGCTGGACAAAGTGAAAACCATAGATCAGCTCCAGGAGCACCACCAGAGGTAAGATAGTTACATTTTGGTTTTATAGAGCAGATTTTTAAAAATATATATATTATACTTAAAGAGTACTGTTCTTTTAAACGGCCTCGGTCCTGTATACCTGAAGGAGCATCTCCACCCCCATCGTTCAGCCCGGACACTGAGATCCAGCGCCGAGGGCCTTCTGGAGGTTCCCTCATTGCGAGAAGTGAGGCTACAGGGAGCCAGACAGAGGGCCTTCTCGGTAGTGGCGGCTGCCCTGTGGAATGCCCTCCCATCAGATGTCAAAGAGATAAATAATTACCTGACATTCAGAAGACATCTTAAGGCAGCCCTGTTCAGGGAAGTTTTTAATATGTAACGCTGTACTGTTTTTAACACTGATTGGGAGCCGCCCAGAGTGGCTGGGGAAACTCAACCAGATGGGCGGGGTATAAATAATAAATTATTATTATTATTATTATTATTATTATTATTATTATTAACAAATAATTGATGCTGCCACCCAACTTGTGTACAATCCAAGCAAAGTTTTGTGTGGTATAAACCTTACTGAATGATTTAACCTTGGACATGGCATATAATATTTTGTTGCTGTTTGACATTTCTAGAGTTAGCACCAACTTCAGTCCAACTTAGTCATTTCACCATGTCAGGGGAAAGAAAGTTTTTAAAAAAGAAGTAGTTTGATTTGATTATTCAAAACTACATGTTTATGTTTAATGTTGTGTTAAAAGCATAGGATTTTAAGCTATTTTAAGAAAACTATTGGACCCTTATCCAGATTCATAGTGACTGAGTGAAAATACAAAAGTCTTCACCTGGCGATGTCCTTGGACTCTGGCTAGTCCATGTTCTTAAAATGAATAAAATAGTTCAGTTTTGTTTTTTTAAAAGTCATTTACTTACTATCAATGGATCTCAAAACTGTTTACATCAAAAATCATAGTACAGTATATAGGTATACAATAAGCACAAGCTCCACAATTTTTAAAAAAGTATCTAGATATGCAGTAAAGCACAATACTGGATGAATGTAACAATCATATCAATATAGAATTCAAAAAACCAGAAATACCTGCATAAATTTTTTAACCCTAAATCTCAAAAATGTGCTAGTCACACAACTGCTCTCATAATCTCTCACTTTCATCCATCACGTCCACATACAGCTTAATGAAGTTTATTTTTTTAAGTACACATCATTTAATCAATCCCTTACACTCAACAGCCAGTAATAATCCAGTACACCAATTATTAATAATCAGTCACAGCCATCAACCAATAGGGAATCAAACTCATTTCAACAACTTCAATAAACCTAGTTCACCCTCACTGAACTAACCGGTACTTCCTTCCTGCTTCTCAGCTTGGTGGGTGGGATGGGTGGGCAGTTCTAAACCAGAGCAGGAGGCTCTCACCCTGGAAGGGGCAGTAAGAAGTATAAAACTTTTGGATAACTCCAAACAATAACATTATAACAGATATGGTGCTCCAACAACCCTACCACATAACTAATCCACATTACAATGCTGGCAACAAATGTTACACTGTTGATAAATAATAAACACCATGCTAGTGAAAACGTGACACAACATTGGGGTGGTTGTACCCACACCTTCATGGGAGCCTAAAAGGTATCAGTCCTCTGATAAAACCTTGAAACATCCTTTGTTCAGGTTTTTTTGGGGGGACCTTTGGCCCACCCCATGTGGCTGAACTACAACTCTCATCAGCCCCAGCAAGTATGGGCAGTGGTGAGGGATGATGGGAGTTGTAGTTCAGCATCATCCAGAGAGCTCAAGGTTTTCCACACCTGCCCTATACATATTATCATTTTTAGTTTCAACAAGGCGTTACTGTTACAAAACAAATTTTAATACAAACTTTAACAAGAAATTTTAAAATGATTTATTTTCCGACACCCCCCCCCAAAAAAAAAATCATTGTGGCATGTTGGCTAGAGTAGTAAGACTTAGGTATGGTAAACCCAGAAACCCAAATAGTGTGCAGGTCGTTATCTTGGTCTAAATCTTTGCAGACTACTTGTGACAATAAAAATGTGGTAACTGCAAATCTGATCTAAAATAAATTATCCTATAGTTAATAGTTTAAAATATCCTTCTCCTTGTTACTCCTCACTCGATCACCGTGAATTTGTAGCTCCAGATCCATCACATTGACTCCACTTTCTCAAGAACTTCCCCACCTCTTTCTTTCCATTTTGAGTCTCTCTCTGTTTGGCTTGTTATAAACTGTTTGCATAGGCATATTAAAATTTCACCTGTTTTTAAAAATAAAAACCTCCATTTCTCTGCATTTTTCTTCAATAATTAATCTGCATCCCTTCATCCTCTTCATCTCCTTGAAAAGTGCCTTGTTTTCATACCATGCAGTCTTTGACCTGCGTCCCAGTCACAATTTTTGTCTTCCTTAAAAGAACAGTCAATTAAAATAACAGACTGTGTAATTGCTCCTTGTTTAACATCAGCAAGACTCCATTTAATTACAGTGGATTTACTTCTAGAATTCAGACTTGGAAATTACAGAACAAACTAACTTACGGGTGACCGAAACAAAAACATCTGTGCACAATCATGTTTCCATATGGTGCGGGTGAACTAGGGCCTTGAGTATATTTTCTTGGTGTTAAATGTGTTGCATACTGAATATAGGAGAACATCATATAAATAGAGAACCACCCACACAGCCCAGGGCACTTGTAAGCAATAATTATCTGAGATGTAGCAATGTTTCAACAACTCTCAACCTCCCTTAGGATTTGTAGAACTGAGCATTTGCATTTCTTCCAATTAACATGGCAACATTGGCTTTTTCTTGGAAATGTGCAATCACAGTGCCTGCAATTTGCAACTTATGAGTAACATCTTAAAGATCAAAGTGAATCCCAAAATGAAACATTCCCTCATTTTGAAGTTAAAAGCTTTAACTATATGCCATCGTGACTGTGAGCTACAGCACTGGTTTCTAGCATTTATTTCACTTTGCAATAATGATTTGCTCAAGTAAACAGTCAGTGTCCAAAAATATGTATCTTGTATAGCAGAGCAGGCCTAGACAACACCAGGACTAATGCAGCCATGAGCACAATAGCTTTAACTGCAAAGTGTATATGAATTGTGCGGACTATCAACTAGAAACTGATAGTTGCCTGTCTAGTTTGAACTCCTCTTCTCACATCTCAAAATGATGTCCACTCTTGATTTCAGAGATGAACAAGAGATTAACTCCTTGAAGGAAGAAGTGGGCAGTCTCAACTCTCTGCTTACTGACTTCCAGAAGGACATTGATGGCAGCCGGAAAAGAGAATCGGAGCTATTGGTCTTCACTGAAAAGCTGAGTACTAAGAACGCCCAACTGCAGTCGGAAACCAACTCCCTACAAATGCAAGTAGATAAGATCACCTACAGCGAGAGAGAGTCTCAGAATCAGCTGGAACTAGTGAAGCAAGCAAGAGATGAACTGGTAAATCAGAATTTCAATTAATTGGTTAAGGCTTATGTCAATTAATGTTTTTAATTAAACCCTAAGCCCTGGAATAAGCCTGGATGTATTCCTGCTGCTTCTGCTGTTGCTCAATAAGTGGCATAATTAAAATAGAGATGCTACAGTGGGGCCAAAGCACGATGAAATAATTCCTGCCTACCTGAAGAAAACCTTGAAAATGTCATCAGCCCCTGCCTTTGAGCCAGTCAGCCACTCAGCACAAAGGCAGATGCATCTTACTATATTTATAGTGAATAGGAGAAACCCTGCTTCCGTGTGCCACTGCTGAAGCCAAATTTGGCAGATTTCTTCTTGGGGAGGGGGGTGCTATTTGAATAAACATGGGGCAGTCTGAATAGGAAAAATACACAGCCAGATACACAATGCTCATTATAACTGGCCCGTTAACCGGCTTGACAGGTAGTGGCTGTGGATGACGGGTAAGAAGCATTGCACCACAAATGGTTTAACAACTGAAGGCTGTGCCTCCTGCTGTAAATCGAAATAGTATGATCTCACTTTAAGGAAGTGGTGGCTGGTTCTCCAGCCTGGTTACTGGGAGTTCTGAAAGTCTTGTATGCCTCGTGCAGTCCTCTGGTGCTTCCTTGAGCTGTGCATCTTGTTGGCCACCTAATGTAGATTGCAAGTTTTCTGGCAGGTTGGCTTCTATGCAACGTCCGAGCCAATTTGAAGCATTAAATAAATGCTTTGCAGTATGTGAAATGAATATATACAAGCTTACGTTTCAGAAATTGGAAACTGGAATCACGTATAGCATAACATGGGCAGCAAAGCTCTAAATTCTCTATAACTGTGGGAGGAAATACAGCCTGTGGAAGTATGAATGCTTGTACTTCATAACACATGGGGACAGCTAATCTGATCTTCCCATTCCTCACAACAGATTCTTATATTCCATGACAACCATATTCTACAAAGCCCCCAGGAACAATATGGTGTATTGGAATATAAGCAGTTGGTATATTGGGTCTTCCTTTTTCTTTTTGCAATGTGTTTTAAAATTGTATGAAATACTCAGTGGGCAATGGGGAAAGCAAATGATAACACATCATAATTTGGACTGTATAAATATATGTGTTTCATTTTATAAATTCAGGCAAGTAAATTGCAGAAAGAAGAGGAACTTCACAGAAACAATGTTCAAGCGTTGCAGGCTGAATTAGCATCTCAACAGAAAGCATTAGCAGACCTCAACACTAAAGCAGATGAATTAAAAGATGAGTTGGTTACGCAGAAGCGAAAGCATGCTGCAAATCTGAAAGACCTCACCAAGCAACTTCAGCAAGGTTAATATTTCTCAGACCTTGGTTTGTATGGCTTTTCCCCAAAAACATTAGCACTGCATCAAATAATTTATGGTTTGTTCCCTTAGCACGAAGAAAATTAGATCAGCTTGAAAATGGCAACTATGATAAAGATGTCAGCAGTATGGGGAGTCGTTCTAGCTCATCAGGTAGGTCGTTTGATTAGTCTCATCAATTATTTATTTAAAAAACCTCTACCAAAATCATGCCAATAAAACATATTGTAGTTCTCAAAGTATATTTTCGCCAGCATGATTTCCCCCAACCACGCCAGTTACTAACAGTTATCCCCCACCAGATTATAATATACATGAACCCACATCTGTTGAGATTTCGTATCCAACCAGTTCTATATTATTTATAGTAAATAGTAATTCACGGTAACTTTTTTTTCTTCAGTGAAAAAAAGCACATTGGCTTATACAAGGAATGGATTACAATAACTGCAGTGCTTAATAAATGACAGTAGTTGATGGCAGTCATACTTTATTACAGAAATAATTTATCTAGAACAGGTCTTGTGTATTCACTTCATCAGGCAATTGGAAAAAGAAAACTCATCGGGAAACTAACTGCTCAAATGTCTGCTCTAATGTTCCAACCATTAATTTGCTCTGAGAGTTCTGAATCTTGAATACAATTGCAGTTGTGTGAGGCTACCATGAAATAATGGAATAGTTCTTGGAGAGTTTGACCCTAGCATTTATAGCTTGCTGATTCTTTATATCTTCCTGACTGTGTGTTCGATGGCAAATACAAATCAGTTACCTTTTTAGTATTGCTTCCTTGGAAGCTGGCAGTGCACAAATGAAAAATCAATTCATGTTTTACAACAGTGAATCTGCTGCTTTAAAATTCATTGCCTCTCTATTACTTTGAACATGGAGTGGAATTATCTGTCTGTGTAGAGGCCTGCCATCATCTTACAAGGTCTGTAAGTGGCGTCAAAGGCTCTGCACAAATCTAAATGTTTTGTTTTTTCAACCGCCATCATATTTCCATTTTAGTAGTCAAAAAGGTGAGGCACTCGTGAATTTGACCAGATTCTAAACTGAAACACCACTTTACATGGTAAAGCTTTGGCACAATTCTGAATATGTTTGTTTAACAATCAGGGTGGTAGTCACTTGTAATAGGACCTTCCTTTACAGTGGGCCACAACTGTGGATCTCAAAAGCTTCTGCAATTGGGTAGCCTCCTTTAAGTGTCCTTAGCAGAACCCATTCCCCTGTGATTTTTAATAGTTATTATAAATTTGGGTTGCTTTGCTGAGTCTATAGTTTGTCTGTACTAGTCTTGATTATTTTAATTTATTAAATTTATATACCACCTCATCAAAAGATCTCAAGGCAATTCACAACCTCAGGGCAGTTTAGGTTTTAGTATTATTATGAAATGGGTATTTTAGATTTTCATACTGCATTTCATATGTTAGCCATTTTTGTGGAATATTATGTCGAAATGCAGATTAAAATCTTTTATAATCCATAACTTTTCTTTATTTGACTGAGAGCCATGCATTGCAATTAAGATGTCATTGGTTTTGACAGGATCGCTTAATGCTCGAAGCAGTAATGAAGATCGCTCGCCAGAAAACAGTGGCTCTTCAGTAGCTGTGGATCATTTCCCTGAAGTGGACAAGACCATCTTGATTGAGAGAATAGTAAGGTTACAGAAAGCCCATGCTCGGAAAAATGAGAAGATGGAGTTCATGGAGGATCATATCAAACAGCTGGTTGAAGAAATCAGGAAAAAAACCAAGTATGTACAACATCTGGTCCATTTGGTAATCAGTTTGAAAAAATACAATGCAAGATGCTGTGTTTAAAGTTAACACTGGTACAGTGGTGCCTCGCAAGACGAAAAGAATCCGTTCCGCGAGTCTCTTCGTCTTGCGGTTTTTTCGTCTTGCGAAGCAAGCCCATTAGCGGCTTAGCGGATCAGCTGTTAAGCGGCTTAGCGGCTTGGGAAAAAGGGGGGGGAGGAAAAAAACCCTGCAGGAACTCGCAAGACATTTTCGTCTTGCGAAGCAAGCCCATAGGAAATTCGTTTTGCGAAGCACCTCCAAAACGGAAAACCCTTTCGTCTAGCGGGTTTTCCGTCTTGCGAGGCATTCGTCTTGCGGGGCACCACTGTACTCTGTATGGTAGCTGGATAACTTCATCAGGAATGGAAATGGTGCCAGACACCTCAATATAGCCCCAATGTATTTCCATGTTTTTCAGGGTGAGGGTGGAGGGCACGCTTCTGCAATGAAAGTTTCCTCCATTTCTCATATATAGGCGCTAATTTGGTAAACGAAATATCTTAATAGTAAACAGAACTTACCATAGAATTAAACTAAAATAGCAATGTTAATTAAACTGTAGTGATTCAAAGCTAATTATGTGTGTTGACGTATGCAAAGTAGTCTGTGCTGTTTTTTAAAAAAATCTGATTTGAACGTGAATTCTGAAAGTGCTTCCATAGCAATTTGCTGTTCTCTTTAATTACTACCTTTCATGCAAATTGAATCTTAGCAAATTACCGACTGGGAAGCATTAAGCCGAAAGTTTCCTTCACTATTCTTATGCTGGCAGATGTTAGACACTAAGCTCTTCACCTTTGCAAAAGAAAAAAAAAACACACGGCACAGTTAATTTGCACGAGCTGTTTCAGTTTGAAGCTGCTAAGTAGTTGTGTAGCACACATCGCTGCAGCAAAGTGTACTGTACACCTACTTTCAGAATACAGTACACGATTGCTAAAGACACAAGCTGGAATCTATTTGCACTTGGTGACACTTGGTGTCATGAAGTCAAATAATTTTTGTGAGTTCCTCACTTTCTTCTTCACAATGAGAACAATACAGTGGTACCTCGGGTTACATACGCTTCAGGTTACAGACTCCGCTAACCCAGAAATAGTGCTTCAGGTTAAGAACTTTGCTTCAGGATAAGAACAGAAATCGGGCTCCGACGGCGTGGCGGCAGCAGGAGGCCCCATTAGCTAAAGTGGTGCTTCAGGTTAAGAACGGACCTCCAGAACAAATTAAGTACTTAACCCGAGGTACCACTGTATAGCCAACTCTCATTAGTTGGAGACTACTTCAGCTAAACTCCCTAAGAAATGTACATATGATGGCTCTTAGAGTTAACAATGAGGACAAAATTTGGGAACACTAGTTAGTTTGGCTCTGCAGGCCACTGCTTGACATCTGACCAAGTTTGTTTCCTTTTAACAGTGATGGTGATTCTGGGGACTATATGCCCAGTTGGAAACTGCTAGGACATGATGCCACTTCTAAAAGCAGTTTTGTCAATTTAAATATCTTGAGGTTTTTGCTGGTGCCAAGACTAGCCGTGGGGAATTATGAGCTGCTATTGTGTCTCGGAAGAAGACCACAGCTAGTTTGGCTAGGAAAGTTGCCTTTAAATATATAAAACAGCATGGTTTGAAGTATTTTTGCTCTACCTAGAAACTATTCTTAATAAGGTAGTGTTCCCAATGTAACATTTTTATAGAGCAATAATAGCATTTCTCCCACTGAGTTCACTCTGTGACACTCTGCGTGTAGGGACAATGCTGAGTTAGATGGACTAATTTTCTGACAGGACAAATTAGCTGCCTGTGTTCTTTCATGTTGTCACTATCTTACACTGTTTTACTTTCTACAGAATAATCCAGAGCTACATTTTGAGGGAAGAAGCTGGCACATTGTCATCTGAGGCCTCTGATTTCAATAAAGTGCATTTAAGTAGGCGTGGTGGGATTATGGCCTCTCTCTACACATCTCACCCAGCAGACAGCGGGCTCACTTTGGAACTCTCTCTGGAGATAAACAGGAAGCTCCAAGCAGTCCTGGAGGACACTTTATTGAAGAATATTACCCTGAAGGTAATTTGAAATAGAAAATTAGAATACATCATGCTTTTCATTGCACCTTGGTTGTTGTTTTTTAAGTGATGGTATATGACTGCAAGCTATTATAGAAAAAAGCCTTTTAGACATGCTCTGAACAAAGTTAAAATATCTAGGCAGACTGTCATGTGCACCCTGAAGTGAAATAATTTTGAGTAGATCTATCCTTTCTTTCTTACTAATGTGTGCAGGTTTCAAATTGCAGTGGACTTGAATTCATTCAACCTTGAAGACAAGGCACTGTTTTTTTGTTTAATTGGGTATCATAAAGTCCGCTAATATCCCCCTCTATTTTCTTCAAAGGAAAATCTGCAAACACTAGGAACAGAAATAGAACGGCTAATTAAGCAGCAGCATGAACTGGAACAGAGACTGAAGCAAACATAGCTGAGAGCAAGACCAAGGAGTCAGAAAAGACAGGTGCTCCATACCCTGTTGGTATATAACCTGGATATCCGCCAGTGTCTTCTGTCAATCCCATAAAGCTTTAATAAAGCAAACTGGAGTATGTTTATGAGCGAGGTTTACAAGGCCCAAGGCCCAGCGCTTGCTTTGCCTGAAGTGATGGAAAACTCTTGGTGAACTTTTCTGAACGCTATGTGCATCCATATTGCTTTTCACTGAAACAAGATATCCACATGCACCATTTTATGCACTTATATTTAGAGAGAGAGAGAAAAATAATTCTGCTTTGTGCAACTACAGTACCCTGTTAATGAAGAAGCTTGGTGGAAGGAAAGACTCTTGGGTTTTGCAGTTCTTGGGGGTGGGTAGTGATGGAGAGGGTTGTCCATTGGACATATTAAACTTATTGCCCTCCAGAGGATATATGTCTGGGGGAAACCAAACACTCACACACATGCACTTCCTCTCTTGGATTTATTTAAATTGGTTGATTTTATTTATAACATGCATTGGAAAAGACTTTCATAGTAGACTGTTCTCTAAGGACATGGTACTGCATATTTTATCAATTGGAGACGAGAGATTTTTTTTAAAATCCCTGCTGACTTCTTGGATATGAATTGGATTATTATTATTTTTTAATTAAAGAGAATAATTGAAAGAGAAACTTCTGCAGCTAATTGGTGTGAGCTGTTGAAACCAGGCTTTCACCTACAGAGATTGCTAATAAAATACAGAGCTATTTATTATTTGAACCCTTGCAAGGCTTTGTAAATTTAAATGGAAATAGCAGTTGCATGTGTGTGCTGTGGCATAAACATATACTCTTGCTACTTTATCGCCTGTCTCGTATCTGCCCATGTACTGGCAAGGCCATACTTCTCCATGGGTGGAAGAAGGAAAAGAGGTATTTACTAGGGAACTTAAGTTGTCTATACACTACAAAACTATGGTAGTCTGCTACTAGAAATGACTACATACAAGCTTTCTTAAGAATGGTGAGTGACAGCTTGTGACCCTCCATGTCTTGTTGGACTCTTAACTTCCATCCGTTCTAGTCAGCGTGGTGGGGGGCAATGGGATCTGCCCTGCAATCTGGAGGGCCACAAGCCTGGCACAGAATGAACAGAAAAAGCTACCCACTATTGGCTGCTGAAATGATAGGCACCGCCAGGAGACAATAATGAACAGCTGCATCTCTGCCAAAAATATGTATGTGAGCTATGCGAATCCTAAAATACAAATTGCAAAGCATTGGAAATAACTGAGCACTTGAGTAGTCTTGCTGGTGGATAGCATGTACTTAGTAAAAGCTCAAGAGCAACAAGTAAAATTAAGTTATTGAGGCTGTTTTGGGAAGAGAAGAAGCTGGTGGGAACTTCAGGCTTTTCTCTTTCTCTTGCTTTGACGAGCGCTAGCATGCATTTCCAGGGAGCAGAGCAATAAAAGGGAGGCTCTGGTTTCTTATGCTTTAAACCTTGAAGTGATAATATGTGGTTTTTCATGTTCCTTTTTGAGAAGAGGGCAGTGCATGTTCAGGCTTGAGCTTGTTCTGATAGGAGGAAGATGAAGCAGATGCTTGCCTTCCCCTTTCAGGAAGTCATTGGCGTACGGTAAATGCATTATTCCAACTAGGTCATTGCTTTGTTTTGCCTTATTAGAATATAGCAGCTTTGAAAAGCTACACTGCATCAAAAATTAAGGGAAATGAAAAGAAATTGACATATGCCATTCAAGTTTAATTAACTTTTTTCCTTCAGTCCCCCCCTTCCCCACCCAAGGGTGGAGGCTTGAGAGGAAGGCAGCCTCTATTTCAAGTTGCAATGTTTCTTTTCATTTGTTTGTTTGAAATACAAATCTCAACTTGAACTTCTTACATAGTTGCATGTGGAGGCTCCATTCCTCTTCTCACGTTTGTGGATTGAGTGAGAGAACTGCTCTTTAAAAACAAAAAGGAACCCTAAACAAATGTATTTGTACAAATATGTATATACTGCTAGAGTTTGTATTTTTTAAAAAGCCATGCATTTCATACTTATGTACAGTAGCAACATCACATTAGCAAAACATGTTTGCCTTCCAAATGGAACCTTTATGGTGCTGGGGAGAAAGAACTGTCCTCAGTCTTGTACATACAAAATTAGACACTTTCCCCTGTTTAGTGTTACTTCATTGTGTATAAATTAGAACTGGAGTAACTGAAACTGTACAAGTCTGCAGTTTTTCCTTCAAGGGGGTCATTGTTAGTCACCAATTACTTGTTTTTAAGGATCAGGAATTAAGGAGTGTTTGCACACAAAACCAACCAACCAACCAACCCAGAATTTCTTGGGGTTTTTAATGGCAGAAGTGTATTTATTTTCAGAATAGTGCATCACTGCGCACCACAAATTTAGCCTATCTACTATATATGCTTGAAAAGTTGTATATTTGCAATTGCACTGAGTCTTGTTTAAAATACATCCAGCCCGGGGTGAACCTCCTTTTCTCCTTTCATGAGGAACACAGATGTTTTGGAAGGGAAGAACTTCCTTTTCACCTGTGTGAATTGGTCCAGGACAGAGTTTGACTTAGACTATTAAGATGAAAAAAGAGCTCAGATTAGGGTGATGTGGTGGAAACCATTATTTTGATAAGCCTTTTAATAGGCCTGATTGCTTATTCTTTTCTGAATGGAGGATATCAATAAACTCGAGTGTGTGTGATATGCCTGGACAGCAACTCCCAGCTTGTGGTAAACCAATTGTGTGATGGTAGACGTCACAAGCAGAACTGGATATTTGGTGCTGTATCTAGTGTGAGCTATATTCAGAGTAGACCCACTGAAATTAATGGATGACTTAGCACCATTAATTGCAGTGGGACTACACTGAGTAAAACATAGATGGCTACAACACTTAAGAGGTTTGCCACAAAGCCATCTGTTTTCATTGGCATGAAAAACGGCATATTCTGCACAGAGCACTCGCTCAATACAAAAAGCCAACAAACAGGATAGTAACTGCTGCATGAACAACTTCTGTACTTTGTACAACCGGGAGACTGCACATCCCAAATTGTTAGAGTATGTCTCAAGGTATTTTCTAAAGGAAGTGTTCAGACAGACTATCAATTTGAATCAGCCCTTTGCATTTTAAGATCACTTTGAAGGTGGAATTATTGGAGAGCAATTTACCGTATTTTTCGCTCTATAACACGCACCTGACCATAACACGCACATCGTTTTTAGAGGAGGAAAACAAGGGAAAAAACATTCTGAATGAAACAGTGGATGTATCATTTTTGTGCTTCATGCTGTGGCCACAGACATGTGATCTGATGGTGAATTTGGGGTGACCCAATGCAAAAATCCTGAGAATTCCTGTGGATCCATGCTTTGTAACCACGTTTTTGCACCATTGCAGCCCCAGGCAACAGTGGGTGCGTGATTTTTTGGGTGCAGGCTGTAGCCATGGACATGCTATGTGATCTGATGGTGAATTTGGGGTGACCCAATGCAAAGATCCTGAGGATCCATGTGGATCCATGCTTTTTAACCATGTTTTTGCACCATTGCAGCCCCAGGCAACAGTGGGTGCGTGATTTTTTTGGTGCAGGCTGTAGCCATGGACATGCTATGTGATCTGATGGTGAATTTGGGGTGACCCAATGCAAAGATCCTGAGGATCCATGTTGATCTATGCTTTGTAACCACATTTTAAGTGGGGAGCGAAGGAAAAACAAAGAAGGGACATGAGAGGGGTGTGCAGAGAAGCAGCTGGCTAAGAATGCTGGAGAGGGATTTGGGGTGGGAGGAAAGAAAGGCAAAAGTTCCCCCCCAAGCCAGCCATCTCTCTCTCTCTCTCTCTCTCTCTCTCTCTCTCTCTCTCCCTCCCCCTCCCCCTCCCCCCTCTCTCTCCCTCCCCCCCTCTCTCTCCCTCTCCCTCCCCCCTCTCCCTCTCCCTCCCCCACTCTCTCTCCCTCTCCCCCAGCAGCACCGGAGCACAGAGAGGAATTAGAAAGAACTACACTCTGCTTGCCTGGAGGGGAGGGGCTTTCCCTGCTCTTTGTTCCGTTTCAGCAATCACAGCAACGAAACAGAGGAGGGTGGGCAGTAAGACCCTGAGGCAGAATGCAGGAAAGCTGCCACTTCCTCTTTTCAGGTTTCCCTTCTCCGTGACTCGCGGTTTGACTTTTGCTTGATTTTTTGGCTCCAGGGACCACACATTCGCTCTATAACACGCACAGACATTTCCCCTTCCTTTTTAGGAGAAAAAATCTGCGTGTTATAGAGCGAAAAATACGGTAATTTGATTGTATCTTTGCCATTCTTTCATAGATGCAATTTGCAAATGCTGTGAGGGCAACTTGACAAGATGAGGGGAGATCTGTAATTGACAAAAGTAGCCAGGGAAGATTCAGATGAGAAATAGCAGTGCTGTGGGAGCAAAGGGTTAGCATGAGAGGGAAATAAATAATAATAATAATAATAATAACAACAATAATAATAATAATAAATGTTATACTGCCCTTCATTCAAATATCTCAGGGCAGTTCACAACATAAAAACACAAAAGACATAACAAAACAACAAAAACCCCTCCCACAAACACATTCTTAAAAAAAAAAAAAGATTTTATCTTCCTGGGTTGCAGTGCCACCCCTAGAACAGTTAACCACCTCTTCCTCCTGATCCAAATCTTTGTCACAGACAGTTGAATTTGCCATTTTATATGGGCAAGCCAATCATTATTACCATGACCAGAGCATCTTCATGGCCAGCACTGTACTTTGTGTTTGCACTGAATTGCGGAGTATGCATGGCTCTATCAATATTGAGTTTACTTTACCACTACCATAGTTTTCTGCCTACCTACTTTTCTGTGCAGTAGAAGTAGCTTAGACCACCCAGAGGAAGCAGGCATACTTAATGCTATTCTTTTACCTTCAGAGGTATTTAGGTCAGCATATTAGGCCACCTTCTTTTTGAATATTCAGAATGCTTAATTAGAGACCTCTTCAGGGCTACCTGCAGCAAACTGTCCAAATGATAAAAATGGTGATTCACCCATTTATAGAAGGAGTTAGTAATAAAAAAAACCTCAGAGTTTTGTAGCGCCTTAAAGGCTAACAAATTTGTTATGGCATAGAGCTTTCATAGGCCTGAGTCTTCATATGCATGAAATATTATCAAGCAGTATCTGGAGAAAACTTGCTCTAGGAATGGCACATGTTTTGCAGCATTGTATGTCCCCAGTACGCAACATGACGTCTTAATTGGTCTTTAATTCCTGATAATTTAAACTAAGTTTTTGTCAGACAATGGTAATACAAGGATTAGTGCATGCTATGAACAGGGAAAATATATATATAGGAAATTGCTTCAATATGAAAATAAAGAAATTAGAAAAAATAAAGTGATGTTACCACTATCTAATGCATTTCTGATGTTCCAAATAAACTGCACATTACTTTTCTTCCTTTTCAAAGCCCGTTCAAGAAAGAAAGTATATTTAAGAGTAACCCAGTCCTTTGGCTGCAGACCTTTGCACTTTTCTGGGATTAACCTCCACTTGAACCCCATGGAGCTTTATAGACAGACCCCCCCCTTCTGCACCATACCTTTAAAGCATCATCATCATGCCACTTTGAACCATCATGATTTACCCCCTTAAGACTCATGGAAACACTAGGTTTTTAAGGGTGCTCAAAAGTTGTAAAGAAATCCCTGTTCATTCTCAGAGTAGTTTAACAATCAGTCCCTCCTTCCAGGGAGCTCCGGCAGTTGTAACCCTGGGAGAAAAATAGGAGACTCATAACAACTCTCAGCACCCTTAACAAACTTCAGGTCACATAATTATTTGGGGGAAGCCATGACTGTTAAGTGGCATGATACATGAAGAGCGCAGATGGGCCATAACCAGGACTGAGATGCTAAGTCGGTTGTCCAATCTTTCTAGCCTCATAGGAGCCTCTTAAAAAGCAGAGTCTGAAATGACCATGGCACGATTCACAGAAAGTGTTAGAGATAAAAGAACGAGCTCTCTTCATTTGGAGACAAAGATATCGGCAGCATTCTTGAAAGGACAAAGCTGTTCCTTCCACCAGAATTTAAGATTCCATCTTCTGTTAACAGAATGACTTGGGTTTCGTATCTTATTCTTCTCTTTCTAGGCTTTTAAATTCAAGTGCTATGTGGTTTTCAAACACAGGTCAGCTTGGCAGCCAGTCCCGATATCTGTTCTAAATGAGGGGGTTACTCACAGGTTTGGGTTCAAAATCTTGGTATGCCCCAGCAAGTTTTCAATTCCATTTCCTGAAGAGCAACAACCT